TCGCTTTGCTGATCCTGCCCTGTATTATTTTGCTGGGATAAATCACAGACGTGAGTACTAAGTGCTGAGTCCTGTGAGTCCTTCTACCCAGTCATCAAACCTAGGAGTGGTCTTGGGGACCCCAACATGCTATCCTTTCCCTGATGATGTTAAAATAATCCTGAGAGGTGGGTATTGGGCAGTGTTCTTTACTCTTAAACATTCGTTTCTTCATCTAAACATCTAAGCCCTCTTCCCTTTCAGGTGATTTATATGATGCCCAGCACATACTCTGTATCACTCAATAAATGATAATTAATAATCATAAGAAAGGAACAAGTAAAGTGCTAGGTAGTTGGGAAGAAGATCTTAAATATTCAACAGTAAATCTTTCAGATGGGTGTATTTCATGTTTTTGCATTAGTGAAATAAATTTTCCCATAACTATTTAAAGTTGGCAATCAATTTTTTTATCATCTTGGAATATTTATAGTTCCTTTAATATCTTTAGGTAGGAATTTTCTACCCTCCTAATTTTGTCTGAGAATTAAAAATCTCAAGATTGTTTAATAAGCTTCACATTCCTGCCTTTATGTTATGCTATGGACTGAATGTTTGTGTTCCTCCAAAATTCATGTGTTGAAATCCTAATCTGCAATGTGATGGTATCAGGAGAGGGGGGCCTTTGGGAGGTGATTAGGTCAGGAGGGTGGGGCCTTCGTGAATGGGATTAGTGCCCTTATAAAACAGACCCCAGAGAGCTCCCCCACCCCTTCCACTCTGTGAGGACACAGCAAGAAGTTGGCCGTCTGCAGCTGGAAGAGGTCTCACCAGAACCCGACCATGCTGGCACCCTATCTCAGACTTCCAGCCTCCAGAACTGTGAGGAATAAATTTCTCTTATTTATAAGCAACCCAGTCCATGGCACTTTGTTACCGCAGCCCGAACTACGACATGTCACTTAATGATTTCTGACTTAGCAAGTCAGCTCTTCAACGAGTTGCTTTTATTAGCGTAATGTTTCTTTAGGTAGTTGTTCATCATTAGTTAAGCGATTTCATTAAAATATATATATATTTTTTTTGGTGAGGAAGGTTGGCCCTGAGCTAACGTGTTTCCAATCTTCCTCTTTTTGCTTGAGGAAGGTTGGCCCTGAGCTAACATCTGTGCCTGTCTTCCTCTATTTTGTACGTAGGACACTGCCACAGCATGGCTTGATGAGCAGTGTGTAGGCCCGCGCCTGGGATCCAAACCTGCTAAACCCGGGCCACTGAAGCGGAGTGCGTGAACTTAACCACTACGCCACCGGGCCGGCCCCTCATTAAAATATTTTGAAAGACATGTCTACAGTTATTTAAACTATTTTTTCTACAAGCGTTATGGTCATTTCTACATTATTTCTCTATTCATGTGTTTATGAGAATGTCTCTGTTTTGTCATGTTTTAAATACTATTGACTGTGTAGACAGGAGGTCAGCACACATACGGTGATAGGCATTATATACTAGAAATTGTAAGCTGCAGGACAGTTAACTGTGAACCCTCTCATAAAATTCCAACAGATGTCTTATTTGTTCACTCAGTGTCTTTTGTCCCCTAGAAATTCACATGCCCAACCTGTTTTTCGATAATGATTTTTTCTAGTGGCTTATGTGAACAGATCAATAGTGTCCAACTAATTTCTTCCCCTAATGAGGGGAAGCAAATAATCATGCCCATTTCAGAAACTGCTCTGAATTGAGCTTAATGCCTTAAATCACATCCACGGTGAATGGAGCCCCTTTGTCACTCGTAATGACTGCCACCTCTCTTGGCCCACATGTGATTTTCCACAGCTCTCCGTAAACAGTTCTGTCTCAATTCACTTACTCTACAAAAAAGCATCCAAAGGAGGATTTACTTTTTCTGCCCATTTTTTAAAGTCTACCATAAACCCATACTAAGTGTCTCTGATGCCATTTAGGAGGCGGAACAGTTCTTTCTGATGATTTACCCTCCTGCTGTCCTGCCCACTACATTGTAAGTACTGTCCAGCTCTTGGCCTGAAATTATTGTCATATTTGGTCATAATTGGATCCCATTATATTGCCATGTCAGGCAATTCTCCTGGTTTAGAAATGGGAATATTACCTAGTGCAGTGCTGGCTCCTTAGAACTATTAAGCAAATTTACATACCAAGTACGTTGAATAGGTGTGGACCCTTGGCCTTTTCTCCTTTGATCAGGGGAGGAAAGCTGTTACATCACTTAGGAAAGTGTTTGGCTGTAATTAACAGGCCACCCAAATCTTGTAGTTAAACAAATAGGGGTCCACAGTTCAGCTGCCTAGCAGTGCCCTTGGGGACCAGGGTCTTTCTAACTTGAAGCACCATCATCCTTAGCACGCTGGCTTTCATCTTCCTGCTTGTTGCCTTGTGGTCTTAAGATGGCTGTATTGGCCACATATGGGTCTGCTTTTATCAGGAAAGCAAACACTTCTGTGCCCTCTGCACACATCTCTACCCCTACCCCACCCCCACCACCAGGTGGACTTCTGCTGAGGTCCCATCAGTCAGATCTGGGTCACATGGCCGTTCCTGGACTCCAAGGAGTCTTGGAAAACAGGGAAGAGGAATGTGCTTATTGTCATAGTGCTGCAGCAGGGCACGGCACAGTGCTGCCCTGAACAAAACTGGGTTTCTATTGGCAAGAGAGAAGGGAAGATGGATCCTGGGTACACAGTTGGCAGTGTTGGCCACAGATGTGTATTCTCAGGCTCTCTCTTGCTCTCATATGCCACACCACACCCACAGAGAGATATCATATAACCACCAGAATCCTCTTTGCCAAACTCACTCACATAGCTTATTTTTCTTACATAATAACAAGTCTTAAGAGTAGGCAGCTCCTGGCGTTGAATAAGTTGCTTAACACTGTCACGAGCAGTGTCTCTGCCATGTTCTTGTTACTTTCGTCCTGGTTGCAAGATGGCTGCTATAGCCCAGCCATCTCCTGCATGTTTAAGAGAAGAAGAAGGAAGGTAGGGGGGCAGTACCGCTGACATCTGACCCTTTTTTCAAGAAAGCAAAACTTTCTCTGGAATCCCCCCAATTTCTGCTTGTGTCACTTGGCTACTTTCAGCTAGGAAGGAGTCTGGGAACCATGTGTGTAGCTTCTCCAGCTTCTGAACTAGAGGTGAACAAGGGAGAAAAGGGAAGAAATGGGAGTTAGACTAGCCCACCAGTAGTGGTCTCCTTCTCCCCTGGTGCCCCAGCATTTATGTGAGCAAGTACTTTGGTATTTGTGGACAAATAGGAAAAGCTCACTTGCTTTGGTTATTTGTTGATTCATTCATCCACGTCCAGTCTGAGCCAGTCTCTGTACTAGTCACTATACACACGTATTTTCTCATTCATTCTCACGACAGTTCTGGCAAGGTAGACATTATTATACTTATTCTGAAATTAGAAACGGAATCTCAGGCAGAATAAATGACTCGCCCAAGGTTGTGCAGCTCTATGAGGGGCAGAACCAAGACTCAGACCCACACCTGCCTCCCTGTGGAGCCTCTCGCCTTCCACCGGGCCACACTGCCTCCCGGAATGATTACAGCTGCTCCTATGAAAACTGTGTCTGACTTTTCTCTACCAGGGAGCAATGATTATTAGCCTGTGGGAGCTTAGCTTCTACATTAAACATATTTTGGCAAAAACAGTTTGCTAATAATATCGCAACTGTAATTTGGGGTGATTTTATATTTGGGGTCTAATGAGATGACATTCATTTTATGAGCAGGGTTATAATTTCTAGTACAGAGCTTTGGATGGTAGGCTAGTTAATAAGCATTTACCCAGCGGTTAGTCCATACACTTAAGACTAAATAATTTGCATAATCTTTTCCTGTATAAGCAGGTAAGGCTCTTTGCCAGCAGCTGTTCCCCTTTATTATTCCTGAAAACCCCAGCATTCTTGTTTCAGCATAATGGAAACAGTGATCATCTATATTCATGTCCGCAGCTTATAGTATGTGTTTGTGAACTAAAATAGTCAGAGACATTTCATCCCTGCAACATGTTTTTTAATAATGTGTGTGGGTTTTTGTGATTATGAGAGTAATAGATGCTCAACTGAAAGAAATTTGGGAAGAAGAATGAGAAAAATCACTCATAATTCTATACCACCCAGAGGCAATAACTATTAACATTGTTGGCATATTTCTTTCCTAATCTTTAAAAAACATTTTTTACGTAGCTGAGTTCATACATTATTTGCAGTTTTGTGGGCTGCTATTTTTCGTGTAACATAAACAAGCCTTCTTGTTACTACAAGCATCATTGTGAACGGCTGCATAACGTGCCTTCATGAAGAGCACACCATCTTTCACGATTTTTAAATGCTCACTAAAATAAAACAATGACAGAGCACCTTAAGTTAAAAATATTTTCAATATTATTTTACATACTTTAGAATCGACACATTTTCTTGATAGATATGCTTCAGAATCTGCCTTTTTCCCTCCACAACACTTAGTACCGGTTAACATCTTGCATATTTTACTTATAACTGTACTGATCGTCTGCCTGTCTCCACTAGTGAGTAAGTTCCATGAGGGCAAGAACTTTTGTTTGTTCTGTTTTCCTCCATGTTCTTGGTGCCCAGCACGGGGCCAGGGCAGAGTAGGGGTTTAGTAAGTATTTGTTAAGCCAGTGGGAAGAATCCTAAGTCTAAGTCACTCCTCAATCTTCTGGTAGTCTTCGCTCTGTGTTAGAATTTGTTTTGGTTCTTTTAGACACAATAGCTGGAAGTTTCTGGACAACAAGAGTCAAAATCCAAAGGCATCTAAGGCTTCCCCCATCTGTGGACAGTGCTGAGCAGGATTTGGATGTGCTGCACACAATCTTCAGCCCTCTGCTGACGGTGGGGGCCGGGGGGTTCTCTGAAGATCCAAGCCACCCCAGGTGTAGGGACCCCTCACCCTCTCATGCCCAGCTCACTGCAACAAAGTCAGAGCACAGAGGTCCTGGTAGCAAGCTCTGTCAAGCTCCAAGGGCCCAGGGGATCTTGTTTCTAAGGTGGGAGGTAGTCTGATCCATTTATACCTCCACTAGGGCCGAATTGATGGCCCATAATGATATCCAGGCCTAACTCTCTTCCACTATTTGGGGCAGTTTAATCTAAATATAACTTTCGTTCCTCACTGGGGCACTGAGGGGGGCTGGCGCCTTTCAAATCTCTTGTAGAAACATTTCATAGGCATGTGAGCACAACTCTGGACAGAGAGAGACTTCTCCCAGGACCTTTGCCAACACACCATGTTCTCTTCCCTTGTTTTATTTTATTTATATAACTAACATTTATATAGGGCTTGCTGTGTGCCAGGCATTGTTCTAAGTGCTTTGCAAAGATGAACTCACTTAATCTTCATAACAATCCTATAAAGCAGGCAGTGTAATTATACATATTGTTACACTGTGTGTAATTTATCTTTGGGGACGAGGCACCTGGATCTTGGTGCAAATTGCTTTATAGTCATGGCCTGCTCATCCCGTCATCTCTTTTCCCAAGAGATGAAAAGGGAAAACTAATAATCATTCCATGGAATGTGTCAGAGGGGCAGACTTTCAGGCCCATAAAAAGGAGTTGCGTCCAGGGTCTCCAGGACATCTGTGTGCTCCTGACAGCAGTGACTTCAGCTTCTCGCTGGCCCTCCAGACAGTACTCCCCACTTCTTCTCCGCCTGTTGGTAGAGTTCACCCCATTTCCTGTGCTACATCTTCCTGCCTCGATTTGTCTCTGAAGTCTGGTGCTGGGCATGGGAGAGCGGTTGACCTAGAGGTAAGGCAGAGGAGCCCGTCAGTCTCTGGGCCTGGCTAGTCTCTGTTTCCCTTGAGGCTCTCGCTTGCATTGTGGTCTTCATGGGGTGCGCGCTGTGATTCGTGACGCCTTGTGTTCAGCTTGCACTACTTTCCTCACCTGCTGTGATGAGGGGTCTCGTGGGAACCCTGCAGACACTTAGGTTGAACTACATCCTGGGATTGGACATTTAAATACCTTTGCGGACAGGAAAATGATTTTTTTTAATTACAAAAATAATTATGTAATGGTTTTTATAGGCTATTGAGTTGCTATTTTATAGTAAACAAAAATAGTGTCACAATCTAAAGTTTTGCTTTTTGGGGGGCAGGCCCCATGGCGTAGCGGTTAAGTGCACGTGCTCCACTGCTGGCGGCCCGGGTTCGGATCCCAGGCACGCACTGACGCACCACTTGCCAGGCCATGGTGTGGCAGCGTCCCACAGAAAGTGGAGAGAGATGGGCATGGATGTTAGCTCAGGGCCAGTCTTCCTCAGCAAAAAAAGAGGAGGATTGGCAGATGTTAGCTCAGGGCTGATCTCCCTCACAAAAAAATAAAAGAAAATAAATAAATAAAATTTTGCTTTTTTGATTTAGTTATTCATCTTTGTCAGCACTGAATACGCATGCAGATTAATGAATCAAATCATTGTACACGGAATGTCATGAGAAGCGGCAGCTCATGACTCCTCACCAGCCCATTGCTCGCTTCCCAGAGGCCACCACTGTCAATGATTCTAGTTAATTTTGTTGATAATCACTTCATAGTTCTAATTAACATGCTTATGTTGCTATTTCTGGGTCTGCTTATTGTTATTTATTGAATTTGAATCTTCATTGAACCTTTAATTTTGGTTATATCGGTATTCAGTATTTATAATAGTTCATCTATATATACATTATTTTAAACATTATTCACAACTGTGCACTATAGTATGCCATGAATATTTCTGCAAATTTTATTTGTTTTTTTTTTAAATAAAATTTCTTAGTTTTTTAAATGTACTAAGTTAGCCTCAGTCTCTTCTTCCAGAGGCATAAGTATATGACTTTCCTGTCAATAAATTTAAAAATATTAGGCATTCTATCAATTTCAGCTTCTCGAAGAAATTTCTCCTAGAGCCTTCAGCTTCTTGACTGGTTACTCTCTAAGCCTACTGACAGCTGTCATCCTGGGATTTCCATTCCCGTTAGAGGGGCTGAGCACCTGCACCTCTCTCTCATGTTGGATCCCCGTTTCTTTCCTTTTTAGATGGATCACAGCCTCTTGTAGCTTCTGGAGAAGAATTGATATCTGAAAGTATCTTCATTCTACCCTCACATTAAATTGATAGTTTGGTAGTTTGGCTGGGTATAGAATGTTAGGTAAGGAGCCATTTTTCTCTCAGAATTTAGAAAACTTTGCTTCCTTGCCTTTGCTCGTTGAATATGGATCTTAAGATGTTCCATCCCATTCTGATTCTTGATCCTTGATTCTTGATCCAAAGGATCGTCTCTTCGTATCCAGGTTTCTGGAATAATACTGTGAGGTACCTTGGTGTGAATCTGCTTATCTCTTTAAAGTCATGGCCTTTGGTTCTGAAATCTTTCTGAATTCATTGATGATTTCTCTCTCTGATTTTTTCTATCCTCTCTGGAACTCATATTCTTCAGATGTTGGACTTCCTATACTGGTCCTCAAATATTCTTTCCTTTTTTTTCTTTTCCGTGCTTATTCTACTCTCTGAGATATTTCCTCAACTTATCTTTTAAGCCTTCTACTGAGATTTTCATTTCTGCTACAATAGTTTTAATTTCTAAGAGCTTTTTTGGTCATTACTCCTTTTAAAAATAGCATCCTGTAATTGTTCGATGGATGCAATATCTTCTTTTCCCTCTCTGAGGATATTAATGATAGTTTTTTCCTTCTCCGAATAGTCTGTTTCCTCCTGTTTTGATTGTTTTGGTGTGTCTTTCATATTGGACGTGTTCCTCCGGTGTCTAATGATCCTTGGCTGCCTGCTGCAGTTTAAGAGTGCAGCGCATGCACGTGCACACACACACACACACACACCAACAAATAAGGCAGCACTAAAAAGCTGATTGGACCTTTCGTGTGTGGGGGTCTTGTGTCCCATGGTCATCACCACAGGGTGATGAAGGCTCCCCTTCCCCCAGTGTCAGTGTCCTTAGGTCTGTTCTTTTTGACTCTCAGATGCCCCAGAGTAGACTGTTCACACCTCCTGCTGGAGGGCTCTGCCTGTCTGTTCTCATTCTGAGGGCCAATGGAGGGAAAAGGCTGTGTTCACAAAATCAGGGTAAAACTTTTCACCTTAATTTTCCTGTCTTCACTATGGTAACCCACCCCCAACTGTTCCTGCTGGCTCTCAGAATCCCCCTGTTTACTCTTTACAAAAGCTGAAGCCCCCATCTGCCAGAGTGTACAAGACTTGTTTTATGGAATGGAATGTCAAGCCATCTTTTCTTTTAGCTCTCTTTTATTCCCATTTCCCAGGATACTGGTTACCACAAATTCCTGGACCTTTGGAGTATCTGTAATATAAAGCAGATTTTTTTTCTTTTCATTGATTTTCTTTTTAAAAAATTGAGGTTTAACATAAATAAAATGCAATTAATATCGAGTGAAGAGCTTGAACATGCGAATCCACCCTCAGCCAGCACTCCAATCGAGATATAGAACATTTGCATACGCCAGAAGTCTCCCTCTTGTCTCTTCTCTATCAGTAGCCTTTCTGTTGCTACCACTTGGTTTTGCCTGTTCTTGAACCTCATAAAAATGGAATCATTTAGTATGTGCTCTTCTGACTTCTTCCACTGTACGTGATGTCTGAGATTCATCCATGTTATTGCATGTAGCAGCAGTTAGTTCTTTGTTATTGCTGTGTAGTATCCATCTAATGATTGTATCACAGCTTATTTACTCATTCTGCTATTGATGGATAGCTGGGTCATTTCTCTTTTGGGACTACTGTGAATAAAGCTGTGATGGACATTCTCATTCATGTTTTTTAATAGACCTGTGCCCTCATTTCTCTGGGTGTATTCCTGGGACTAGAGTTGTTGGGTCATTGGTAAGATGTAGGTTTAGCTTGGTAAACAGCACCTGAGAGTTTTCCAAAGTGGTTGTACTAAGCCGATTGCCTCTTGACTTTTCCCACCGCCAGCTGAATATTTAACTTTCTAGGTTGGCCAAGCCCATTACCACTTGTCCATCTGCTTTCTGGTTTCCAAATTTCTTTGGCTATTTTCTCTTCTCCTTTTATCTTTGTCCTTGAGAGTTTACTGTCTTTGCAGTAGGGTTCGTGGAAGGAACAGAGCTGTGTGTGCGCTCTCAATCCACCCTCTTTAACTAGAAGCCTCTATTAGGATTTTAGGATGGCTTTTTAGCTCTCTCAGTCTCACCAGTCGTAATTACCCTTGTGTTTTCTCTGATTCATTTCTGCTTAATGGTTTTATAGAAACAAGGTTTTGTTGCTCTCAGCCTTTCACAGCTACTCCAGACATTGTTTTCTGTGTTCTGCATTGCCGACAAAATGACAAGATAATTCTGATTCCGTGTCTTTATCAGATATAAAGATTAATAAAGAACACAGACTGAAGTGTAGTTTGTAGGATTCTTTCCCTTAAATTTTTTCCCTGAGTTTGCAAAACGCTGAGTATACCATTATAGTTAGAATTTTCAAGCTGATCAAATTGTGTTCAAGTCTGGGCAAATCTGAACACCTAACATTTAACCTTATAATATCCCAGCATTTTACCTTGTATTATCCCAGGCGTGTGTCCCAGGTGTTCCCCTTGCCCCTGGAACTTTCTCACCATTTTGGTTTGGGTATACTAGGACTGGGAGGCACAGTAAACGCCTAGAGCCCTGAATTGGAAGTCAGATCGTGTTTGCCCAGAGAACCGATGGTGTATGTTGACCCCCACCTACCCCCTGGGCTCCCTCTGGATCTCCTTCCTGTGCAGAGGTGGTGCCAGGCGGGGCAGGGATGGCAGTGAGGAGTCCCAGACACCTTCTTGGCTCACAGTGGTGATGACCACCCCAGCAGACAAGGTGACAGACACGCTCAGTGTCTGAGATGCTTCCAGCCTCCCAGACTCTGGACAACCTGTCTCGTTTACCACCCAGGCCCTTTCCCAGGAGAGCTGACCCTTTGTCCTCTACTTTAAATTCCTCTTTACCCATCCCTCCTGCATCACAGA